TGACACTAGCTAAAAAAGGCATGACACTAGCTAAAAAAGGCATGACACTAGCTAAACAAGGCGTGACACAAGCTAAACAAGTTTGGTTTGGTAGGCGGGGTGCTCAGTTCTGTTGACGGGGTGGGGCACCCCGCTTGTATAATGGTAGGGGAAACACTGGTCTTTGCACCCGTCTCCTGTCTAAGCCGAACATTTCGGTGAGTAAATAGTTAAAATATTACAAAGTATTCAGAAGTAGTTTGACTATAAATGAGCGTACAGGGGAACAACCGTGTGAATCCTGAATGAACAGAAGAAATGTGCATTTTGTTTAGTAATATTTAGTAATAATTAGTAATATTTATTAGTCATTTGTTGTGTTTGTAGTTACCTGTGAGTTCGTCTGCAGGTCTCTGTGCTCGAGGACGTCATGAAACCAGACAGGAAGGTGTGTGTGGCCAACACTCACCTGTACTGGCACCCGAAAGGTAAAAACACTCGCCTCTCTGAGTTTCCTGCCTCCGACAGCGGAAACAGGAACGTACTGAACCTCTAAAATCTTTATTTGTACTAAAGGGGGAAACGTTCGCCTGTTCCAGATGGGCGTGGCCCTGCGGCACCTGAGTCACGTGATCAACCAAGTCGCACCTGGAGCCCCGCTGGTGTTCTGTGGGGACTTCAACTCCACCCCAGATTCAGGTAACTTCTCTGCTGACAGCACCGTAACCCGAGTCTTCTGGTTTGAATCAGACATTTTGTTATGAACAGAGTTAATGTTACGTCGTGTCGGCTCCAGGTGTGTTCCAGCTGCTCAGTGAGGCCCAGATCCCTCAGCAGCATGAGGACTGGAGCAGCTCGGGTCTGGAGGAGTCCTGCAGCATGGAACTGGTCTCTGCCTTCCCCCCTCTGACAAGCGCCTGCGGGCAGCCGGCCTACACCAACTTCGTGGGAGGATTTCACGGCTGCCTGGACTACATCTTCATGCAGCCAGAGAGCATGCAGGTACGCTCCTGTGAGCCGCACGTTTAGGCTTCAAAACATCCGTCCATCTTTACCCGCTTCTTCCTTTTTGGGTCATGGGGGTCACTGTGCGAGAGGAGGGGGACACCCTGGACAGGTCTCCAGTCCATCACAGGGACACATAGAGACAAACAACCATTCACTCTCTCACTCTCACCTAGAGACATTTTAGAGTTACCTGTCAGTCTAACATGCATGTTTTTGGTCTGTGGGAGGAAACCAGAGTACCCGGAGAAAACCCACGCATGCACGTAGAGAACATGCAAACTCCACCCAGAAAGACCCCCCCGGACCGGGATTTGATCTGGCGACCTGTTCACTGAGAGGCGGCAGCTCTACCAACTGATCCACTGTCCCGCCTTTTGTTTGTTTTAAACAAAAAATATATTAACAGTGAAAAAATGCAGTCAGGTAAAATACCACATGAGCACTAAATAATTTCTTCCAAACTCTTGATGAAATTAAGATTTTGTATTTGTGCAATAAAAGTTAAAATTAGATTTTGCAGTTTTGTGTTATTCACAATATAAGTCCGTAATTTTTAACAGAAAAATCTATACCCGACTGATATTAAAAAAATAAAATGATGTGGTAAAAAGTACTTATCTGAGCGCTACTATCGTTCACTGAAGTCGATAGAAACGGATAATTGTTTCAGTTATTTGAGTAACGGATGATTTTTCTCATTCTGGGGTCTTCTGAAGCAGGATTTATAGTTTATAAAGTTCATGCTGGGTTTTCCAACACTTCAGCAGCTTTGTTGATCAGAAGAAGGCGAGTTCAGATCAGTTTGAACCTTAAATGTTTTGTGTTTTGAATGTGGGTGGTGGTTGAGGCTAACGTGCATCTGTGTGGTGGTGCAGGTGGAGCAGGTGATTCCTCTGCCCAGCCATCAGGAGGTCACCACCTACGAGGCCCTGCCCAGCGTGGCTCACCCCTCCGACCACATCGCCCTGCTCTGCGACCTCGCATGGACTCCGTGACCTCTGACCTCACAGATCTGTGCGTGAGATTAAATTGTCAGGCTGGAACTCGTTCCCGCTCACGTTTTGCTTCAGTAAACGGAACTGTTGTAAAATACGGTCATAACGTTTGTTTTCACTGATATTCAGTGTTGTTGCTCGTTTTAAATGACGAGTTTTAGTTTTTAGGTCCAGATTTGTTGCAACTCCTGTTTTAACATCTTGGCTTCAGTCTCTGAGGGCGTAGGAAAGAAAATTACATTTCAAGCTTAATATATATTTTATTAGAATTATTAATATCCCCACAGGTCCCAGTGAATGTTTCGCTTCTTCTAATAAATGTTCAGTCAAGACAATTTACGTTCTTGTTGACTTTTCTAAAATTAAATTAGAAGATAACAGTCTGAATGACAAACTGCTACAATCTGTTTTTTTTAAGTGGTTGAGATAAAATGTGGCTCATCAGCAAGTTGTAAAAAATATTTCAGCATTTGAAAAAACGAGTGGTGACAGAAATGGACAAATAAAATGCTATCCCTGACTCGGAGTATGTTTTTATTTAAATGTTTGTATTGTAACAAATTTGTGATAAGAAGAATATTTTTGATAATGTTTTTAAAGGCTTGTGAATATAAAATATTTAGCAAATTGTGTTTATTACTTAAATTTATAAACTGTTCTGTGTGTTTATGAAATTTTATTTTATATTGCTTCTTAGTTAACGTGTAAGACAATAAAACAAAACCGGTCACCTAAAGGAAAAGATTGAAATGTAGGTTAATAATTTCTTCACAGATTATTTTTTATTTATTTATTATTTATTATTTTTTTGAGCATGCATCAGGATATTTTTTTATTTTTGTTTTTTTTTCCCCACCAAAGAGATTCTGGTAATTCCTGCAACACCTAAAGGCAACATGGCATCCGTGTTTGATCTTGTAAACAGTAACGCAAAACATGTTAAAGTTAAATCACGTGAACATAGGTTTGAGGAAATAGTTATTTTTAAATAAAAAGTAAGAATAATTTTTAAAAATTAAGATCGTGTCTTTCCTTGTTCGGCATCCTTTCCTCTGATTGGACAGAAGGCTGAAAGAGGCGGAGCTAAAGTGTGGGACATACTAAATTGTCATGTGAGGGGCGAAAAGAAAACGCTAAATAAAGGTTTTGTCGGTCATATAGGTTTATATTGTCTCGTGGTACTTATTCATACAAGGTAGAAATAACAAAACATTTTTTAAGTGTAATTAGGATTCTTTTTGTGAACAATGTCCTGGTTTCAATTCGACTCCAGTCATTTGGAATGGCCGAGGGAAGTTCAAGGCGATCGTTAAGCTAGCCGGGCTCACCGGAAACAGCATGAACAGGCTTAAAAAATAAGTTTAATAACTAATTCTTATTTGTCAATCGCTTAAAAAAGACAGGAATTAAACACGGATTTCCCGAATCTTTCTTTTTGTAAACTGCAAATGAGTCATGCTACAAACAACATTAAAGGGCTAATTTCCAGATCCATTTGTTGTCAGTCTGATGCCCAAGCATTATGTTTACTGCCTTCATCGTCTAAATTAGATAAAAAAAAAACCACTATATAACAATAAATATAAAAATTTAAAAAAATCTAATTTACTCATTAAAATGTGGTATTTTAATACGCTATCATTAATCATACACTTGCAAACAATATTTAATTATTTTCTGATTAATGACATTTGTATTTATTATTATCGATTTATTATTTATTTAGAACACATTGTTTAGACAACCTTTGTTTTGACAATTTATACCGGATGTTATGAATAACACGTTGGTGTTGACGTCATTCGTCTGCACCGGAAGCCAAACAAGGAATTCGTGTTTGAACGATCTTACGTGTCATTTAAGAGTTTCAGTGATTCAGAAACCTCCTACAGGCTAAAAGTGAACAGATCCTTGTAAGTTTTAATTTTATTCATCCACTCACACGGACACAGAACACTGTTTTCGTGATAATAACACTCAGTTTGTGGTATTTTGTTCTAGATAAATTAGCTAAAGTTAGCTTACATGAGTTCAGAAGCACGGACCCAGTTTGCTTTTATTTATTTTAGTTTTAGCTTAGACGCACACACATTTTCCATACATTATTCTTTGCCACATTCTTAAAGTAATTTCAGCTGAAAGAGCTAAAACAGTATGCGGTGTTGTATCGAAATCGGTACCTGGTTTAATCTGCGTCCTCCTGCCAATGAAAATTAAACAAACTGGAATTGCAGATTCAATAAATTATACATTTATAACTGTTGTCTTATCAACATATCAGTGCTATGTTTGCAAATAAGTAAATAAAATTTGCAGCTGAAAAAAATGGAAAAGTTCAACTTCATGTTTAATAAAATTCAATTACAAATGAGTTCCTATTATTTTTTATGCAGTTCTACTTAAATAAATTAAACAACTGCTGCTTGATCATTTTAATCCAGCGCAGGAGACCTTATTTTAATTTAATCAAGTATATAAAGTTTAGTGGACATTTCTCTCTAATCTTTACTATAATCTCATCTTTATACGTCACACTGAAACAACAGAAAAATCTGATGATGTCATGGAATAAACACTGACTGGCAAACTTTTGTTCGATGACAGCGACTCGTGAAGCCAGACACGTTTACTAGAACTGGTTTTAAAGACTGAAGTCGCGCGGTCTGTGACGGTCTTCATCGATCCGTTAGGAAACTTGAGTTTCTTTAGGTTTTTTCTTGTAAGAAGATATTCATTCAGCTAATTAGCCTCTCGTTTGCTGTAGCCTCTAATAATCCGTCACCTTCAAACTTTGAGGAAAACTGTCGTTTGTCATCTTTTTTTTGCTATGACAGGTGATCCTACTGGGATCTCAAGGACAGCAGTGATCATGTTTATTCACTGATGGGAGTTTCGTAACATGGAGAGCTTAAAACTTCTTTCAGTTTTTGAGGAGCATGAGCTAGTTTTACTGAGTCACCACAACGAGGGAGAAAAGCTCAGTAAAAAATAATTTTACCAGTTTAGATCAATCATGGTGGATCAGTTGGTGGAGCTGCTGCCTCTCAGCAAGAAGGTTGCCGGATTGAATCCCGGTCAGGGGCCTTTCTGGGTGGAGTTTGCATGTTCTCTCCGTGCATGCGTGGGTTTTCTCCGGGTGCTCCAGTTTCCTCCCACAGACCAAAAACATGCATGTTAGACTGATTGGTAACTCTAAATTGTTCCTAGGTGTGAGTGAGAGAGTGAATGGTTCATTGTCTCGTTTGTCTCTACGTGTCCCTGTGATGGACTGGAGACCTGTCCAGGGTGTCCCCCACCTCTCACACAGTGATGGCTGGACATGGGCACCAGTGACCCCTGTGACCCGAAAAGGAAGAAGCGGGTAAAGATGATGGATCAGTAATTTTAATCTGTAGAAAAGAAACATGTTGATTGTGTCAAACGTTGTAAAGTTTTGTGTAAATCTAAGACGACAGAAGTTATAACATTAGAATAAACCGCTTGATTTGAAAGTCGGATCTCGTAGAAGCTAGAAGATCAAATCTGATGTCGTCAAGCTTTTGGAAATTGTTTTCGTTAATCGTGATCGTTTCTGCTTCTCAGGCTGCTGCACCTCCTTATTGATGAGCCGTCTCTCATCGGATTACTGTTGCTAACGGCCGAAGGATGAAGGCTCTGATTCTGGTTGGGGGGTACGGGACCCGGCTGCGACCTCTCACCCTGAGCGTCCCCAAGCCGCTCGTGGAGTTCTGCAATAAGCCCATTCTTCTGCACCAAGTGGAGGCTTTGGTGAAGGTACAGAGGAGGACGTGGTTCGCCGACGGTTTGCTTTTGTGCTTTATTGATCGGTCACCGTGCGTGTGTTTGCAGGCCGGAGTGACCCACGTGGTTCTGGCTGTGAGCTACATGTCAGAGCTGCTGGAGAGAGAGATGAGAGTCCAGGAGCAGAGAGTGAGTCCGATGAACCGTCAGACGCTTCATAACAGCACGAAGAGCGCTTTTAGTAGAACTCGTATTGAACAGGAAATGTGTTCAGATAAAGTTCTAGGTTTAAAACTCTCTGGTTATGACCTCAGGTGTGAAGGGAACGCTGTTTAAATTTCTCTCTTTCTTTCACCGGAATAACAATTAGATAATAATTATTCAGTCAGAGGGAGTGTTGTAGTACTCAAGACTCCAGGTAGAACGTAACGGATTGTTTTGTGGCTTCTTATCGTTTTTATCCGCTCTAATGTAAATATTTGAAACCAGGATTACGCTCAGTCCTCTGCTTCATGAAGGTTTCGCTGTTTTCTCCTCAGCTCGGGATTCGGATCTCTCTGTCTCACGAGAAGGAGCCTCTGGGAACCGGTGAGTGTCTCATCGCTTCAGACTAAACTGAAGCCACAAGAATCCGTCTCAGAGTCACAACGACCAGTTCGAGGTCATTTTACTGAACAGAGTGAGAGCGGCACACTTCGGGATAAAACGCAAAGACAAAGAGAACTGTCACAACGTTCGTACTTTTAAAATAAAGATGCCGAATGTTTCACTGTTTTTCACCTGAAGAGAATGAGTTCAATCACAGAATCAGATTTTTGTGGCTCTTACTGCAAGACTTTGATTTTTGTTTTGTGTTCAAGCCCTGGATGAACCAAACATTTAACTTGTAACTAGAAGCCTCAGATCAAACAGTTAAATTAGAAAAGACAGAAAAACAAATCCTAGTTTGTTGCATCCTTCAGTGCTGTGTGCTGCAAACCCAAACTAGTTTTCACTCAAACCTGCTGACAATGACCAGTTTAATGTTTGCATGTTTACTGGTGTGCAGCGGGGCCCCTGGCGCTGGCTCGAGACCTGCTGAACATCGACAACGAGCCGTTCTTCGTCCTCAACTCGGACGTCATCTGTGATTTTCCCTTCAAAGATCTGCTGCAGTTCCACCGCAGCCACGGCAAGGAGGGAACCATCGTGGTAGGTCCCGACGCCGCTCCATAATCCAGGTAGATGAAGGGTCCGGTCCTCTGGACGTGTCGTTTTCAGCTCCAGCTGACCACTTCATGTTTTATCTTTCTGAGCTCTTGTGGAATAATTAGTTTTACTGTGCAGACTCTGATCTTCTAAAATAATACAAAGCTCAATATTCTGTCATGCTCTGTCTTTTACTGGGAAGTTCTGCAGTAACAGCAACAAACACAATTCATAAAATACTTTATGGAGTTTTTGCTTCAATGTCCTATATATTAAAATATATTTCTACCATGTTATATATTATTTTACTCTAATGTATTTGCATTCTTTGTATTTTTTTTTAAATTTAGCATCTTATATCGTAATTTTATGTTAAAAGAGCGGAGGCGGATCTTTTGTTCCGGAGGGGTTCTGTTTCCGGTAGGATGGAATTGTTAGTTACACGTCTGCCTTTCTCACAACGGACAAAACATTTTGTTTTGTTTAAAACATTCTTCGTAACGTTAGGGTTTGTGTCAGAGCTGGTCACATGATGGAGCAAAGGGACTTCCCATAGGTCGTCGGTGACAAAACACTTCCTGGAGGTGTGGCCAGTTCTGAAGAACATGGGTGTGATGATCCGAGCTCGAGGCCGTCGTGATCGCCACCATCTCGTGTGCTCAAATGGCCCAGTGCTGAGTTTTGTACCTTTATTTTATTTATTCATCTTTATTTAACCAGACAAATCTCACAGATCTCCTTTTGAAGGGAGGTCTGGACCTGAAAGCAGACCAACATGCAGGTTTTTGTTCTGTGGGAGGAAACCCAAGTACCCGGAGAAAACCCACGCAAGCACGAGAAGAACATGCAAACTCCACCCAGAAAGACCCCAGGTCCAACCGGGGATTGGACCCAGGACCTTCTTGCCGTGAGGCAACAGCGCTAACCACTGAGCCACCGTGCTGTGAAGAATAAACCTAAAATGTCCGTCGATCACATCTCCAAAGCCGACTTCATGAACACGCTAACAATAAAAAAAAAAACACAATTCTGAGCATGTAAAGCTAAATTACATTTGTTTAATTAAGGAATGATAGTTTTTTCATCATGTTTATAAAATAAAACAAGTAAAAAGATTTATTTTTTTTTAAAGAAGTTGAGGATTCCAGCAAACTTGCAGCAAACGTGTACGTTTGAAAACTGAAGCGAACGAAAAGGAAAAACTAACAGAAGTGTTTGTTTGTGTGAAGGTGACGCGCGTGGAGGAGCCCTCCAAGTACGGCGTGGTGGTTTACGAGTCGGACAGCGGGACGATTCAGCGCTTCGTGGAGAAACCGCAGGTCTTCGTCTCCAACAAGATCAACGCCGGCATGTACATCTTCAATCCCAGCATGCTCGGCAGGATCCAGGTAACGCTCGCACGTTGTTGTTTTCTCTCACCGGCTACACGATCGCTGAATATTCAGAGGTTTGGTTTTGTTGTTTGTGCAGCTCAGACCAACTTCGATAGAGAAGGAAATCTTTCCCGTCATGGCAGAGGAGGGTCATCTGTACGCCATGGAGCTGCAGGGTAACGTCTGTGGTTATTCATTTCACGTTGGGCTGCGGTCACGAAGAGCAGACGTTCTCTGTAGACGACACTTCTGCACAAGCAGCTCTGACGCCTCGAGATGAAACCGACAACTTATATTTTAGTTTGCAGCGACGTTTAGACGCAGAGCTGTGTTCGCTTTGAAAAGTCAGACTCGGTAAAAGTCTCGTCGGTGTTGGAGAACATGTTGGACGCTGACTCGTGTTCTGGTTCTGGTTTCTGCAGCGCACAGCTCCACCAGACGTAAGTCTCTGGGTCTTTCCTCACATCTGAACTCGTGAAGCTCCGGAGAGGATTTACATGTAGAGAAGCACCAACACGGTTAAACCTTTTCTCTTCATCAAGCAGTTTTTAGCTAAAGATGCTTCCTGGTTTGATGGTGGGAGGAAGCAGGACTTGGTGCTGCTCTTCAAATTCATCCCTCTTCAGCTTTTCTAAAACCTCCGTCTCGTCCCGTAGTCCAGTGGTTCCCTCTTATCTCTGCTTCTTCTGACCCGCAGAGTCAAAGGTTTCAAAGATCTGTGACTCTGACTGTTGCTGGTTGAACGGTGCAAATTCTGGTACGAAGCCGTTTAGCAAAGAACCGTAATAATCATAATACTGAATTTTTCGCCCAATAAGTTTCAGTTTTTTGCATAACTTGCATGCCCTGCGACTTATACACCAAAGCGACATATTTATGGATTTCTTTCTCATATTTTAAACCAATTTTTGGCCGAGATTTGACCGTTTTCATTCATTCTGACTGAAAATATAGAACACTATCATTTTTAGCTGCTAGATGGCACTCGAGCAGTATGGCATGCCGTTGTGTCATGTAATAATAGGTACACGTGGCTATTAATGACACAATCAGCTTGCCATAGATGCCACCTTCGTCCAGCTCGCTTGGAACAACCATCAAATCAGCTTCATTTCGCTGCGCCGCCTCGGTGAAATGCAGCTGATTTGACCATTGAAGTTTATTTATTAAGTCAAAGTTCAACTAAGACATAACTTTACTATAATGTCGAGCAAACAAACAATTGTTTTTAAGTGTTAATCTTGTTAAAGTCCTCCCGTGCACGCTCCCGCGGCCACCATTTAGCAGCCAATCGATTTTTGGCACAACACCGGCCACGTTTCCGTGAGTCAGAGGTGACGCGTAATAGATGCGACGTATTTATGGATTCTTCCACTTTATTAGACGTTTTTGGAATTATAGGGCTGAGCGACGTGCGTGGCGGAAAATACGGTAATCAACCAAAATGTTTTTACGTTCACGGCCACAGTTTAAAACTCTTTGTTGCAGTTTGGACTCAATGTTTAGCTGTTGGGTAAAAGTGGGGTCTGAACCAGTGTCGTAGACGGTTTTCTGTGTTTGACACGAATCTGTGGTTTCCCACGACAACCCTGAGGTTTAGATCATTAGTTCCTGTAAATGTGCGTCTTTATTTTCTTTGTTGTTTGTGTTCGTACTGTTGTTGTCTGTGTGTGTGTGATCCTAATTACTTTTGCAGACGTTGTGCTTTTTTTAGCCACTCGTTTAGAGGGGGGTGCTATTTACGTATATTTTCTCCATAATTTACATTCTGTTTCTTCTGCGACTGCTTTTGTCTTCTTGTGGTTTTAGCCTTTTACTACATTTATCTTGTAGCTAAATTTGCTTTTACACTTTTGCTTAAATTTCCTTTAAACATTTATCCGTCCTTTTTTTTTCTTTTAGCTAGCATATAGCTACATTTACCAACTGGCTTACGTTTAGCTGTTTCTAGCTACAACTTTGGTGCTTTTTACTAGCCTCCTGCTCCTTTAAGCTTTCAGCCAACATCCTGCTTTTTTAGCTTTTAGCAAAAGTTCTGCTACAAATAGCCTTTAGCTCATGTTTTGGTTATTTGAGCATTCACTACTTTTAGCTTGTAACTAGCATTTTGCTACATTTAGTTCTAGCTTTTTGCTCCTTTTAGCTAGCATTTTGCTCTATTTTATTTTGCATATACAAAGGTACAAAGTTCTTTATTTGCTATTTGTGCACAGACCAACAATCCAGGCACGTTGAGTTCTTGTACGGAGCTCTCAGTCAGAGTCACAAACACCGAAACAATAAAAATAAGAACAAAGTGGTTTCTATCTCCACTCTACAGAAAGTTCACATGTCACAAACAATTAGATTTTATTTATTTTACATCCAAACTGCAGCATTTTGCTTCCTCGTATAAGTTTGGTTGAAGTGGCTGCATGGAAGAGAGATGAAGACTTTTTTAGTCTGTAATTCACCTGTTGGAGGTCATTTGGAGGAACCTGCTCGTTTCCACGGTAACGGCTTCTTCTGTTGATTCGTTGGGTTCTTACCTGGTTCTGCAGGTTTCTGGATGGACATCGGTCAGCCGAAGGACTTCCTCACGGGGATGTGTTTGTACCTTCAGTCGCTACGGCAACACGCCCCGGAGAGGCTGCACACGGGGCTCGGTTTCCTCGGCAACGTCCTGGTGGTGAGCGCAGCTTCTTGGCGCTGTCGGTAAAATAACTATAAACGGACGTTACAGCGCCGGTCCTGAACTCTCCTCCGCAGGACCCGACGGCGCAGATCGGGCAGAACTGCACCATCGGCCCGAACGTCACCATCGGCGCCGGCGTGGTCGTGGAGGACGGCGTGAGGATAAAACGGTGCACGGTGCTGAAGGGGTCCAGGGTCCAGTCGCACTCCTGGTTGGAGAGCTGCATCGTGGGGTGGAGCTCGTCTGTGGGTCAGTGGGTGAGTCGACGTTTTACCCAACGTGCATTTGTGACCGCTTTGATTTGCAAAACAATTAAAGTTGTTTATTTCTGTAAAACGTTGGCTTTATTTTAGTTGTTTAAAATAAGTTTCCAGAATTTCAAACATTTAATTTTATGATCTTTTTAGGTGTTTTTTTAAGTGAACTGTACTAAAAGAGATTTATCTTTTCACTCAGCTAAGACAAAAGTTGTTTGAGTTTAATTTATGTGCAGTTTTTCATAAAACTCTATCGTCTCACTTCAGTTGAGTGTTTACTGTCTTGGTATGGACAAAAATAAAAATCATTGAAGGAGCTATTTAGATTTTTAAAGTTGGGGTTTTGTCGAGTGCTGTCTGCTGCAGGTAAGATACTGACTGCTAATAAATACAACTCAACGTAAAAAGAGAAGTATCTTCATGAACCGGTTCAGTTTCTGAGCTCTGCTGCAAACAGCCACCAGGGGGCAGTCTTTGTCTTTGTCTTCCAGAGTTCTTGGCCTAAACTAATCCTTTCTGCTTCATTTCATGGTATAAATGTAGAAACTTGTCATGACGGCGCGTTGATCTGCGTCCTCAGGTGCGTATGGAGAACGTGACGGTGCTGGGAGAGGACGTGATCGTGAACGACGAGCTTTACCTGAACGGCGCCAACGTCCTGCCTCATAAATCCATCAGCGAGTCGGTCCCGGAGCCGCGAATCATCATGTAGCGTCGGGCCGCGGCAGGAGAGAATCCCAGAGAGTTCTCTGAACTGAATCATACGGTGCCAGAGAAACGAAGCCGGAAGAACAAGCAGCTTTACGCCTTCTCCTTTATTACAATTAATACGGACCCGTTTTAGCCGCCTACGACTGCGTCGTCCACCGGTGAGAAATCACGGCGCACGTCAAGAGTAGACGACAAGGTTAGTTAAATGTCGAACACGTCGGGCGCTCGTGTCCCAAACGGGATGGATGGAAACGGAAAAAGAAACGAGGAAGGGGTTTGTACGCGGTGGAGGGATTACGATGGGTGGTGGGTTAGAGAGCAAAATGAAGACTAGATTATGGGCTCACACAGCGAAGGATTAAACGTTTAGACATAACGACGCAGAGGTTCTGATCCAGTTCAACAAAGCTGTTCTCTGGAGGCAGGCTTTGTAAAAATGTGAATATTTGAATATTTTCTGTCTGCCCCGATGAACGTAGGTGCAGTTCACCGACGCCTCAACTTGGAATTCGTTGCAGTAATTTGTACAACAAAGTATCAGGGTTGTTTAAATACAAATGATAATGAAACGAGCTGGAGGGCGTCTTTTCAGCACTGCTGTCAAATCACGTGAAGTTTGAAAGTCTGAAACGTGCAAGAAAGAAGTGAAATTTTCCAAGAACAAATGTGGAAACGGACGAGAATGAAAGTGACGTTCTCTGATGTGAAGTCGTTTGTTGGCGAGAAAACGGTCAAAACTTCATTATCGTGAGCTGCGGTCGGTCCGGGTCTCTTCTAGGAATTAACATTTTAGCAAAAACAACTTCAGATTTGTGCTGTAAATGATGTTCGGCTTGTTTTGTAAGACTGCCAGCGGGTTTTATTTTCAGCCGTCGTGTCCGGTGGAGCTCACCCTCGACCGCAGGTTCATCTTGGTAATCCTTTCAAAATAAACTACGAGGGTGGAATTACTCGCAGTTTATTTCTGACGAGGTTCTGTGAAGAAACGGCGCTCAGTCTGCACCTTGAGGGAACAACTCGGGGAGTCACGACCACGTAAAACAACAAAAAACGTTACTAGTGCGTTCTTTTGTAGAATTAATTTATTTTAACTTTATAAATGTTTAAAAATTACTGCCCACCCTTTGTCTGTTCCCACTGTTTTCACAAGTTTAGTTTTTTCATAAATGTGTGAGTTTCTCTGTAAATTTCTTACTGAAGTCCTAAAGAATGGAAGATGACGTCTTTAATATTTCGTAAATTAGAAAACGTTTTCATCCTGGAGGCCATAATTTAACAATCTCTGAACATCTGAGACTTGTTTCTGGTAAATTTAGGACTTTATTCCAGGAAGTTTTGACCTTTTTGCTTCACACATTGATGAGTTTACATCAGAACATCAGTTTTTCTCCTTTCAGCCTAAAAAATCTTCATGTTTTTCACTTTAAACGCATGAATTTAACACCAGAGGTACGTTTAGCCTCATTTAGCTCCGCCCACCAGCTCGTTATTTTTATTTTTTTCCCACGAGGCCTCTAACGGGATTATCTTTTTATTTAGTTACTGTTACTTGACTATTTTTTTATTGTTTAAAAAACAAACCAGTTACTGAATGAGTCAAATAGAAATCATGCAGGATGAAGGATTTACCAACAATCAGCAGTTTATAATTCATTTCTTTCTGTTTTTTTTGTTTTTGTCATTAGAAAAGGAAAAAACAGTTTCACGCCCCTTGAAACTTTGTTGGCTTAAAAGTTAGGAAATGTGTTGAGAAAACGTGCACTTAAAATGTTTAAGAAATCCTTTCAGACGTGTCTTTTGTCAGAACTCAGCTCTTTAACGTTTGAATCTTTATTTAACACATTTAAATCAAAACCTGAGGGTCATTCTGTTCTTCGTGTTGGTTCCAAGTATAATGATCATCAAGCTGCAGGTACTTTTACTCAGCGTGGAGTTGTGTAACTTCTACACGTTTAGAGGCTCACGAAGCTGCTCGCTGTTTGTTTGTCAGCTCATGGGATCAGACGTGACCTCGTCTGCTCTTAGGTCCGTTTGCTGCATTTCATCAGATTTACGAAAAATTAGTGAATTTTCTCTAAAACAAGGACAGGAAGTTCTGCAAACTTTAAAAATCCCTTCATATTAAGCATTGTTTTTAAAAGTTATGATTTGTGTCGTCTTTATTCAGTCAAAAATTGGCTTTTATTTTAATTTAGTTTGTTTTTTTATGTTTATTCTAAACAGTACTTCTTAAAATAAATTGTAAAATGAGTTCATCCTGAAACGGATGCAATAAGTTTGTCAGTCATCTTCACTAGTTTTATCCCTTCAGTTATTTTTGATTAATTTCTGGTTATTTTCTTTTATTAAATAAATCAAAATGACCTGAACCAACCAGATAAAACATCTTTTTTCACAAGCACAGTCTTAAAGTCTTTATTTTCCTGATTGTACTCCAACGTTTAGTCTGGGTCTGTTTTTGTGAAGAGCTTGGAGTCGAGAGTAAAAGTAGCTGTAGCTCGTTGAAGAATAATCTCTGGGGCTCTAATGTTGAGTAATTCTCATCCAAATTGATTTTTTCTTTTCCAACAAGAAAAAGATTTAAAAAACGGACCCAAATATTTGATGTTTGGGTCCAACTTTAGCACTTACCGTGTTAGGATGCTCTTGTTTCCTGCTTCAGTACAACAAGGACTCCCTGAGTCTTCTGTTTGACCTTCAGTTTCCTGTTGGACTAAAACAGAACGGAGACGAGAAGTGGCTGCTGACGGGCCTGAAGGTGTCCTGGAGGCTGCAGAGGCCTCGAGTGGGAGAGCAGAACTTTGGTTCTGATATCTTAAGGGTCGCTCATGATTTTTGTGGTTTAAGCTAATTTCTCTTGAAGCTGAAGCTACTAGGAACTCTGGAAAACTGATCTTAGTGACACAAGTTGAAGTTTAGAGTTTATAAATGTCTGAAAGAAATTATTTTTATCATCAGATTGTCTCTGGGTGTAAAGTTCAACAGTTATTGTGCAGTTGGTGGTTAAAAACTGTCTTGTAATGTTTTTTCCTCTAAACATTATAAAACAATTCACTGAAACAAATAACGTAGTGTCTGTTTGTTACTTTTAACATGTTTAGTTTTCTGGTTGTGGTGAGTCTTCTATTTTTATTTTTTTTTTCAGGTTTGCATTAAAGATCAAATTAATACTTAACCCTGAAAACCTGAGTCTTTGGAGGTGTGGAGTGTGTTGATAAATGTGCTTTGTGAGAACAAGTATGGCAGTAAATGAATCCAAATTTGCTAATATTTAAAATTTAGTTCTGTAAGATTTAATTCTAAAATTTAAATTAAAAAAAAGATGCCAATGGCAATCTCAACCCAGACTTGGCAATATTTGAAAAATACATATATATGCCAGTATTCTAAATATAAAGATAATATAAAAATATAGCACCAAAAACACACCCCTGAGGGACTCCACTATTAACGTTTGCCAAATATACATGCTTTCTGTTCCATTTTTTTAGAGGACTTTCAAGACCACTTAATTTACTAACAATCCCATATATATATATATATATATATATATATATTGGGGAGTGGTGGCGCAGAGGTTAGAGAGGTGGGCTTGTGATCCGAAGATCGCCGGTTCACGCCCCGGCCCCGACAACATCAAAATTGTGGGTGGGGTAGGTGAAACACCCACACTTGC